CAAACCCATTTCTCTCATTGCCACCGTTTCTCTTCTCTACTCTCTCCATATCTCCACTTTGCCTCAAAACAACGTTTTTAATCGGAATTCTCTTCAAATATCATCTTCTAAACCTGCTAGCATCATTAAAATCGTGCAAACAACATCAAAATCCACTCAATCTCATCTTTCAAGGTAAATTTTTCTAAACTCTCTATTTTTCATTGATTTTGAACATAAGACTAGTTTTAATTAGTTCTAGATAGAAATAGTGATCGGATATTGATTGTTTAGTGATTAGAAACTAGATATTACAACTAATTTCATCAAAAACACAAGAATTTTTCTAAAAATTTTGAAATTTTTGAAATAAAAAAAAAATTGTTTTTCAAATTATTGTGTTTTAATTGAATTATGTTGTTGTTATGAAAACTATACATATATTGTTTTTCAAAATCATATTTTTCAATAGTTTTCAAAAACTTTGCCCATTAGGATTAGTCTAGAGAACCTTGAAATATTGAGGACTCAATTGAGTTTTGGGATTGATTGAATTGCATATTGCATACATGTGTTTTCTAAATTGCAGGTTATCCATTCTATTCCAACTTCCTAAAACATGTCTAATCCTAAACGTGCTAGGTCATCATCTAGTCGCTCACACCGTCAACCAAATCCACCTCCAAATCCTCCTCCTATTCCTGAAATTCCAATTCCTAATCCTAATCCTATTTATCCTAATATGACTATCCAAAACTCGTTCTTCAATCATCTTGGTCCTAGAAATCATCGTTTTTGGTATTATCAATATTTTTGACTCTTACAAAATTAGAGAAGAACGTATCCCTTCTCGTCAAGCTATGTTAGATATCGATTTTAGATATCTTCCTCTTTTAGAAGAGTGAAAATTTGATAAACTTTGTGACCTTGAACCTATAGTTTACCATCAACTTGTTCGCATCTTTTATTCTAATGTTGTTTGTGTCAAAAACCGAGCTCAAACTGAAACCATAGGAGTTCGTTCCTACCTCCTATGACAATTCTTACATATTAACTCGACTTACATAGCCAAAGCATTAGGATTAGATAATGATGGTATATCAAATGAAAAACAGGTTTTAGGTTCTCGTTATAAAAGAAGGGATAGTGCGAGTGTCTTAGACCTTCATGATCGTTTTCTTCATCTAATGATTTCTTGGTGGTTTCGACCATCCGGAGGTCGTTACTCTACTCTTCGTGCTTTAGATATTTGGTGGTTACATTGTTTCCAAAACAATATTAAAATAAACCTACCTCAGATTATTTTTGCTGAAATCGTTGAAACCGTAAATCTTGTTCCTAACAAGAAACTATGTTCATCTCTAGTTTACGGTTGCATTCTGAGTAATCTTTTTTCTAAAGTCGGGCTTAGAGTATGTCTAGATGTTGTCTTTCCTCTAAAGAAACAAATTAATCTTCTTTCCTTAACGAGAGCGGGATGGATAAAGGATAAGGAAACCGGTGAATGGATTCGATCTTCTGAAAATACTCCGAGAGCTAGTTCTTCACGAGCTCCACCAGAAGCTGACGACGATCCCGAGCTTGAACAATTAATGCGAGACATCGATGAAGCCGAAGATAAGCCTGAGTAGCCCGAGGAGTAGCTTGAGGAGCAGCCCGAGAAGCAAGCACAACAAATGAATCAAATGCCTCCATATTTTCAATCTTTTATGGAGACATTCGATTTCCGATATGCTACCATAGATTCGCGCTTTACTTCTATAGAGTCTCATTTATCCACAATGGGAGCTCAACAATTGAAAATTCTTCAGGAGATGCGTGCAAACAATGAAGCAACAAACGCTCGTATTAATGAACTCACTCATGAGATGGCCGCTATGCGAGCTCGTTTTCTTCCTCCCGATCCTCCTACGAATGCTTGATTCTTTGTTTTGCTTTAGCACTTTGAACTTAAAGCTTATTGTTTCAACATTTTGAATATTTTGGAATGTTTGATTTTTGTGGATTGTTAAACTTTGGATTTGTTTGGATGTTTGAATATTTGGTTTAGTTAAATTTATTGCATCATTACATCATTTTGCAATACCAATTTCCATGTCACATTATTTATGAATATTGATTATGAAACTAATGGCTAATGTTTCTCTTTATTGTGATCTTAGCAGCTTAAACTATATATATAATCAATTGGCCAAATGATTTCAAAACCTTGTTTAAATTCTTTTACGAATCTTTTTTATTTAACAAAAAGGGGGAGAAATGTTATTAAATTAAAAAGGGAGTTTTTGAAGAGGAGTAGTGTTAAAGTAAGGAAGAGTAGTATTTTTCAAAATAAAAATTCATTTTGAAATTAGAAAATCTTAAAATGTTTTGTTATATCAAAAAGGGGAGATTGTTGAAAACATTTTGATGTTTCGATATAACAAATTAAATTAAAAGAATTTTAATTTTGAAAAAGATTTTTTCTAAGCATATTCGATATATTAAATCGAATATCAAAATTACTCAAAGTATTTCAAAGTTCATTTTAAATCCTTACTCAAGTGTAAAATTAAGTTTTAATCTTAAAATAATTTCAAAACGATTTTACAAAATATTTCGAACCATTTCAAAGCCAAAAATTGCAGATTGCTCAGAGAGAACCGATTCCCCCCCAAGGGGGTACCGATTCCCCCTGAATGGTTTGGCTCCGAGAATTCCAGTATGCTCGGAGGGAACCGATTCCCTCCAGGGGGTACCGATTCCCCCCACTGTTCAACGGTCGAAATATTTGAATTTTACACTTAGGGAACCGATTCCCCATTAGGGGTACCGATTCCCCCCACGCTCCAAGCAGAAATATTAATTGTTTTCACACTTAAACGGCTCCAAAAACTTCATTAATGATCCCCAACGTTCAGAAGTGATTCAAGGTGTATTTAAGCAAGCTTAGAAGCCATTGATCAACAACAAGAAACATCAAGCAACTAGAATCAAGAGAGAATCAAAGAGAAAGCATCAAACCTCAAGTTTGAGCATTTCAAGCCTATTTTTCATTCAATATTCATTTTGCTTTCAAGAACGCTTATTGTGCTCAATTGTATTCATTCTTGAGTGTTCTTTTCTTTGTTCTATAATTGTGCAAACAATCTATCTTGTGAGGATTTCCTTGTAAGCTTGCAAATTTGTATTGTTCTCTTTGGCAGAGAGTGTTCTCAAGAATTTGAGGTATAATTCTTGAGGGTTTGTAAGGTTACTCTTTCTCCTCAAAAGAAAGATAAATTAGTGAATTTGTGGAAAATCCTTAGTGTGGATAGCTAAGGTAGTGAACATAGACTTTGGTTGAGAAAGTCGAACCACTCTAAATCGCTGGGCAAATTTCTTTCAATTTTCTGCAAAAGCTTCCACCAAAATTTTAATTGTCAATTCATCCCCCTTTTAGCTATTTTCGTCAATCGATTAACTCAACAGAAAGTCTTGTGCTTAATAAATAACAATATCCCAATAATTATAAGTAATTTAGTAAAACCCAAGCCCTCAAACATGCCGGAGATTCTGGCCACACCATTTTATTTATTTATTTATAACAATATTAACTTCAGATGCTCTCACGACTTGGATTTAAGTATAACGCTTTGAGGTTTTTTTTTTTAAATTTTTGTGTTCCTAAAAAGAATTTTAACAATTTCTTTATTTTAAATATACAATATTTATAAAATTAGATATAATATCTGATTGATTTAAAAATTAAAATAAATTAAAATATTTAAATATGATTATAAATTTAAATTTAAATATGATTATAAATTTAAATTTAAATAATTAAAAAATCACATGTATTTAACTTACTATTATTCCTATACAAACATATCAATCAAATATCTCAGATCGCAATGATTAAATACTTATAATGGGAGTGTTGAATTTTAGGTGTCCAAAAGTGAATGAAATACCTACTGGAAACAACAAATTATGCCGTGTGACGTAAAGCAAATGCAAAATCTAGGCTCTTCTATTTACCTATCCACATCACATTCTCACACACAAAAAATAAAATTAAAAAAAGTTGGTACAGTGAGCTTAATAATAAGACGTGGTCGGCTTGACCTTAGAAATTATGGGATTAGTATAAAGGTACTTTTATTTCGTGTCACAATCACATACGCATGATTTGTGTTGAAAATAAACTAAAATTTTAAAGATAAAATTATTTTTTAATTAAAGAATATACAATAATTTTAAACTTTTGAAAGTAGCGACTGTTCTTATACACCCTTTGTCTAATCCACGTATGTCACCCAAATTTTATTCCACAAATCTGACAGTTTAAAAGCTTATATTATGTGCGCTGTGGTCAAAAGTGTGAACGCACACTAGCATCAATTAATCCTGATGAATTGGTTTAATTCAGAATATAATAAAGGGTCTTTTATTTAGAAAATATGAAAAATATCGTCATAACAATGATATCATTGGTTAGATTTACCATACTAGTTGTGGTTATATAATAATATATTTAATTATAATAGATTACGTGAGTATATAAAAAATAATATATGCTAGTCGTAATTTATGGAGAGATATTAAATATTCAAAGATCTTTTCTTAAAGATATTCTTTTGGTGTCCTATGAAGTCTCGGGGTGTCGTAGGTCAAGAGGTGCCATCTTTATGTGGTTGTAAGGCGTCAAAAATTATTTTTGATTTAAAATGCAATAGAGAACTAGATTTAAATAGTGCCGAAATTCATTATTATTTATTAGAGACGGTTAAAAGTATTTAAACTTAGGAAGAATAATAAATCATATAGTCTTTTGAGTAAAGAATAATCAATTCGGCATTCCATTCTTGACCCTAAATCAAATATAAGATGACACAAACATTACATAACACCAACATTAAATACAAACAGGAAATGAATATTCTAATATGAAAAAAAATACACAAATACTATACGAAAACACCAATGACAATGCGCATGGAAAATAAAATAAGAAAGGAATAAATAATTTGTGCAAAGCGAGCCCTCCAGACATGGTCTTAATCTCCCCTTCTTTAGCCACTCTCATCCATCATCTCTTTCCTCTGCTCTGCTCGTGTATAAAATCTCGTCCCTTTTTCAGCTCATACGTATAAATTATTCTCGCTTCCCATTCAAAACCCTGTTTTTTCTCTCCAAAAAGTATGGGGTTACAAGGCCAGCTGAACGACGTTTCCTCCGATTCGATCCCGCTTCTCCTCGTAGCCGCAATCGCAAAGTGCGTCGGCTATCTCCGGAGTCTCCTCTTTGGTTTCCTGCACGCGATTGGGCTTTTCCCTTGCCCGGAACAGCCCACCACCGCCGTCGAAGACGTCGGAATCATAGGTTCCGGCCTCGACACCCTCATGGTACTCGTCGAGCAGCTCAACTTAAACAAGGCTTTCTCCTACGAATACTGCGGCGGCGGAAAGGGCTCCGATTGCATCGTGTGCTTGTGCGGGCTGAGAGACGGGGAACAGGTGAGGGAACTGGATTGCTGCCATGTATTCCATAAGGATTGCTTCGATGGGTGGCTCGATCATCTCAATTTTAACTGCCCGCTTTGTCGATCCCCTCTGAAAAACGATGATCGGAGCTTGAATTGCACGCGTATGCGCGTTGGTCAAGATTTATTCGCCTGGTTTGCTTTGGCCTGAGATTTTGGTGACTCGGGATTTTAGAAACTTTGGTATCTTCTTTTCTTTTCTTTTCGACAATTGTTTTTTTTAGGGTTGTTTGGCATCTTTGACCTTCAACTTTCTTTTTCCATCTAGGGTTTTTTTTGAAGGATTTTCTTTTCTGCTGTAATTATTTACTTTTTTGTACAATAAGAAAATAGTTATCTTGTGTACAAATTATTTAGAGAAGGTGGCCTATTTATTTACATGTTTGATGACTATACTTTTATTTTAAATTCATGGAGAGGTAAATTTAATTTTAATTATATAAATGAATTGAAAAACTATTTAGGAATCGACATACAAATAAAAATGCGATATATGATTGGTCACGTCTCTTCGAGCTACGCCTTTGAGCCAAGCAATACTGTCCACAGTGTGATTGCTAGCATTCTACTTTTGAGCTGGTTGGAATTAACAAAAACTTACTAATGAATTTTGTCAATTGAACTTGTTGATGGTAAATGTTAGCTACGATGGTCGTAATCAGTTCATCTCTTTTTCTTTTCGAATTGAAATGAGCTTAAAAACAAACGTTAGGCAAGGTTACAAATACGAATATAAAGAGGTCTTGCTTTATTCTGATCCAAAATCTCATGAAGATCAAGTGGAACACTGTCAATATTCACGAGTTCACCATCGATGTCGCCAATGAACTTGGCCAAAAATCAGCGACCATATTTGTTTCTCGTCGGATAAACTTGAAATCTATCTACCAGTTTCTATTATGCAAGTCGAAAATACCATGAACCAGAGCAATATGATTGTTGGGTGAAGCAGACATAACCATCTCAAAAGCATTAGTTGTAACGCTCCAAATCTCGGGTTAGTAGTTCGGGTTAACCCGAAACTTATAAATCGAGCCCAATAGAATTATAGCATAGCTTGGACTAAGTTGAGTTGAAATTTGGGCTTTAGTTTGGCCCAAACGAGAGAAGATTGGGATGATTTTATTATGATTTTATTATTAAGGTAAAAAGAGGACTAAACGTGTAATTAACCCGTTGCTCATTTCAAAAGCTGAATACCTTTAATTAAGGGTGATATCAAGTTGGCCGCTACCTATTTTCTCACCAAACACTATTCTTCTTCTCTTCTTCTTCTTCCTCCTCATCACTAAAGTTGTGCAAAGGTGAAAGCTTTAAGAATTTCAAGCTTAGTTTGGTTTAGCAAATGTAAGAATAGTAATCTCTATCCTTCAAGCTTCAATTTAAGCCCTACATTTCAAGTTTTAGTCATAGGATAAAAAAAGGGTTTTAGGGATGTTTAAGAGAATCAAGTGACTATAGCTCGTTTTTAGTTGATTCAAGTTATAGGAAGTGTTCTTAGCTTCAATCCAAGCACCTAGTTGAGTTAGTAATTCATTTGCTTGCTTTGATTAGTGAAGGAAGTGAGGGAAAGCTCAAAAGCTAGAGAAAAAGAGAAATTGACCTTTGATTGATTTAGAAGGATTTCCAGCAGCTAAGACACAAAGGAAACACATTCACAACTTCCTCACACCATTTGTGAGTCATTTAAATATCTTATAGCTAGAGAGTTAAGTTATAAAGCATGATATGACATTTCATGGTAGATTTCATGTTTTGATGTTTAATCAAATTTAAATCCCTTATTATGACTCTTGTATATCACATAAAACTTTAATGATGATTAGAGACCTCAATAGAATATTTTGGGTGAGTTTGGGCGCTAATTTCGTGCCCAAACAAGGTATTTTAGAGCGTGAGTATCAGTATTGGAAGAATAGTGCCAATACTGTTCATATGAGAGGCAAGAAAAAAAGAAGTTTTATGTGGAGAGTATCGGTATTGATATTGGGTCTTGCTTTTGAGACCATTTTTCCAGTGTCCATTTTTTGTATCGGTACATGAGGGGAGTATCGATACCTAGGGTAGAGTATCGATCTCCCATGAGGAAATTTTCAAAACATCGAACCCAAATTTAGTATCGATACTGTTGAGTTAATCAATCGGATGAAATAACCAAGAGAGGGTGAATTGGCAATTAAAATTTTGGTGGAAGCTTTGATAGAAAATTGAAAAGATTTGCACATCGATTTAGAGTGGTTCAACTTTCTCAACCATAGTCTACGTCCACTACCTTAGCTATCCACACTAAGGATTTTCCACAAATTCACTCATTTGTCTTTGTTTTGAGGACAAATAGTAACCTTACAACTCCCTCAAGAATTATACCCCAAATTCTTGAGAACACTCTATCCAAAAGAGAAACTTACAAAAAAACCTCACAAGGTAGAATGTTTGCACAATTCTAGAACAAAGAAAGAACACTCAAAGATAAATACAATTGAGCACAAAGTGTGTTCTTGAAAGCAAAATGAATATTGAATGGATTTTGGCTTGAATTGCTCAAACTTGTTGTTTAAGGCTTTCACTTTTCTTTTTCTAGCTTCTCTTGATCACCAATGGCTCCAAGAACTTGTTTAAATACACCTCAGATCAATTCTAGACGTTGGGGATGATCATGAAGTCAATAGAGCCGTTGTGGTGTGAAATCCACTTGAAAAGTCTGCTAGGAGCGTATGGGTATCAGTACTCCTTCATAGGGGTATCGATACTACCTGTATAAAATTCAAATATTTCGACCGTTGCAAACCAACGGTATCGATACTGGCCATGGGGTATCGATACTACTATGTAAAGTGGTATCGATACTGGTCATGGTATCGGTACCCATTTTGCATTATGTTATTTCTCGGAGTAAAAAACAAAGAGGTATTATCGGTAACATTGACCATGGTATCGATACTACTATGTATTATGGTATCGATACCGTGTAGGATATCGATACCCACTTTAGTTTTGATGCTTAGGGGTATCGATATTGTATAGGCAGTATTGATACTACACTCTTAAAAATCAATTTTTAACTCTATTGTGGTACGAAATACTTTGTAAAAATTGTTCCAAAAATATTTTAAGTATAAATCTCAAATTTTCATTTAGTAAGGAGTAAAAATTGATATTTGAAAACTTGGAGTAATATTTGTTATATTTGAATATAAAATTTGAATCAAATATAAAATCTTAAAATCCATTAATATAATTATTTATTATACCGAAATATCAAAATGTTTTCAACAATCTCCCTCTTTTTAATATAACAAAACATTTTAGAAATTTTAAGATTTTCTTGAAAAACTTTGAAAATTACTCCCCCTTACAATAACATTTCTCTTTTTTTTATTAAAAAAAGACTATAAATTTTTTTAAAAAAAATTGCCAAATTGATGTAGTTGTTTATATATATAGCTGTTAAGATCAAAGTCAAGAGAAATATTAGCAATTAGTTCACATAATCAATATTCATAAACAATATGCAATAAGGATTGGTCATAATTGATCTAAAATTTCAATGATGCATAAACTAATAAAATAATCATTCAATTAAGTTCAAAGTCTAAATATTCAAAATTAAACATCCAAAACACAAAAAATCCAAACAACCAAATATCCAAAACACAGAAATCCATCAAAATGTTTAAAACAATGGAAGGTTCAAAGTTCAAACTAAGAAAACTAGCAAGTCAAGGTCAGTCATCCATCGGTGGATCAGAAGGAGAAAAATGTGCTCGCATAGAAGCCACATCTCGTGTAAGTGCATCGACCCTAGCATTGAGTTCGTCAAAGCGAGCTCGAGTTTCACTTCGTTGCTCTAAGCGTTGAGCCGTGAGTTGAGACTCTAAGGATATAAACCTCAAGTTAAATGTCTCCATGAAAGATCGAAAGTATTAAGGAATCAGACTCTCTTGCCTGGCTGGCTCATCCTCAAGCTGGTTTACGGGATCCTCGATATCCTGTAGAAGATCGTCAAGCTCTTGAGCAGCAGCCGGAGTCAGAGCAGCTCGTGAAGAGCTAGCACTGGGGATTTTCTTTGTTGAGCGAACCCAATTTTCCTTGTCTCCAGTCCATCCCGATTTTCGTAAGGATTTGAGATTAATTTCGGTGGTCAAAGGGATGGCTATGTCTAGATCTACTTAAGACCTTTTTTATGAACATATTACTCAATAGACAACCATAAACTAAAGTTTCGACTCATTTTAAAGGAATGTTGTTTACGGTTTCTACGAGTTCCCCCAAAGATAATTTGAGGGATATTTATTTTCTTTTTATGTTGGATGACATGTATCCACCATAAATCAAGAGCTTTAAACCTAGAGTATTTACCTCCGGATGGTCTATACCACCAAGAGATCATGAAGTGTAGGAAACACTCTTGAGAGTCTAGAATGATTGCGCTCGAATTGACTTCATATTGTGAAGGCACTAAATCTCTCTCATTATCTAAACCTTGGTTATCTAGTCCAAATGCACTAGCTATATAGTCCGAGTCTATATTAATGTATTGCCCCAAGAGATAGGAGCGAATACTTTCGGTCGCAGTTTGTGACTCATTTTGTACACACACAACATTGGAATAGAAAATACGAACAAGTTGCTGATAAAAAACTGATTTTACCTTAAAAAGGTTATCAAATTTCCAAGATTTGAGGATAAGAAGGTATTTGAAGTTCATGTCAACCATGGCTTGAATAGATGGGATACAATCTTCCCTAATATTATGACTCAAAATGGTTAACATACCTAGTGTAGAGACCCCTACGGTTAGGTTCGTTGAAACAAGAATTTAGAATGGTCATAATTAGTATTGGGATTTAGAGGTGGAATAGGAGGTGGATTTTATGGTTTGGAGGAACAACTAGATGATGACCTAGGTCGTTTATGGTGAGACATGGTTCAAGAAATTGGAATGGGATGGAATACCTGCAATTAAACAACATATGTACGCAACAAATTAATCCCAAAACTCAATATGAGTCATCAATATTCAAGGCTCTCTAGCACTAATGTCTAATGGGAAAATTTGAAAACTATTTTGAAAAATAAGTTTGAAAAATAATAGTATGTATAGTTTTCATTAAAACAATATAATTAAAACAAAAACAACAATTAAATTAAATTTTTTATTGCAAAATTTTTAAATTGTTTTTGAAAAATAGTGTTTTTGATAAAATTACTTGTAGATTCTAGTGTAAAACTATAATATATGAAATGCCCGATCACTAATTTGAACTAGAACT